GAAGGAATAAATTCGGCACGGAGAACTCCTGTTGAAACCGAAAGCACTTTTAGTTTACTAAATCTTGCTGACTACCTGTATAAATTTGATCTGTCAAGTGTTTATGTAGTCTGCTGGTGTCAATGGAGTTGGAGATTGAACGATCAATTCATGGTTGTTTGCTCAAAACCAACTTCCCCAATTTTCGCGGAGGCATCAATACGACAGTCATCGTCTCATCGGTCGCTGTTCAGAAAGAAGAGTAAAACATCGTCAGAAACCTTAGTTCACTTATTCTTTTTATATGTTGGTGTTACAATAAAGAAATCTCAAGCGGCAGATCGGTGTTTTGGTTTTTTCGTCCGTTATAACTAAGCGTTTCTGAAATCTTCAAGGAACAGCGTGGGCCCGAGCGTAGCAAGAGCTGGGCATTAACGGTTTATGAGACGTGATTGACAGTTTCTGACGATAGAAACAGATCTGGCGGATTCAAACAGTTGGTGATAGTTTGGATAGTCACCGTTCATCTTTCCTGGTGCCGGTCAAGTCCTCTTTGAACAAGCAATATTTGGAACGTTCTTGGAATTGGGTCAAGTTCAACAATGCTCGGGTCAAAGAAGGGACAGAGTGTCTTGGATGCAAACAGGAAAGTAAGTCATGGTGACTTGTCTGTTAATTGTAACGATGTGTCTGATGTTAAGCATGACATGGTTGATGTTACTGTTTCGCCGTTCAGGGATAATAGAAACATCAAACTCCCTAAATTAGAATCGCGGTGTTTCGACGGAAACCCAGCTGATTATTTACAGTTTGTGAAAGAATTTGAAACCATGTTAAGTGGCTTTTGTTAACTGATGAAATGAAGTTAATGTATTTGATGAGGTATTGCACTGGAGATGCTTCAAGAGCTTCAAGAGCAGTGCAGTAAGCTCATGCCCCCTAATGACGGATACGCTGAGGCTATGAGCATATTACGTCAAAGGTTTGGAAGACCTTCAATGATTGTAAGGAACGTATACGAAGCTGTCAAAGGTAACGGCAGTCAACTTCAAGATGACTCCAAGGCACTTACTGAGTTTTTAGATAATCTTATGACTTACAAGAATACCTTGATTTCTATGAATTGCGTGAGTGACCTCAACTCCAGCTCAGTCCTAGAGGTAATTGCGAGACGCCTACCTACTCGGCTGCAAAGGAAGTGGGTAAAAATAAGCTATCGTATAGAGGATGAAGGTATCGAGCCCAAATTTGATGATATCCTGAAACTAGTAAAAGGTAGTGTCAATCAATCTATGAGCAAGTTCGCCAGTCTATTACATCTCACCCCTAGAATAGAGCAGTCTGAGGGTAAAACGCAATCATTGATGACGAATAGGCCTCAGAGAGGTGGATATCGAGAAGGCTCCATGATGTCTAATAATGCATATAAACTTAGTGAGTGCAACAGGTTTCGTAGTACATCCTCAACCGATAAGTTACAAGATGCAAGACAAACACGGTTGTGTTTCACACGTTTGCAAGAAGTGCGTACAAATGCAAATGTAAACTCCAGGTCTGACTCCGAATTGTGTGACGATAACGGTGCGGTGAAGAAGTCTGTAGTTGCAACTGGTAAGCCATTGTTGAATAGAGTGTCACAGCATAGAGTTGCTGCTTCAGAGTGCAGTTCTGACCCTACAAGTTTACAAGGTATTACTATTCAGAGTGAAGATATAGAACCTCTTAGGATTTGCGAGGAGGAACCAAAATTGTCTACTTCTGTTATTAAAGAGTTTGAAAATGATAAAGTTGACGGTAAATTGAATATTTGTGGTAATGATCATGATACTTCACAGTTGTCTTTGGTTGATCATGATGAGATGAGGGATATGCCTACTACTGCTAAGTTGAACAAAGTTTCTGTACAACTTGAACGTGAAGTAGAAATAAATGCAGATGCAGTTGTAGAAGGCATGCATACTTGTGAGACCGTCAGTGGGAGTGATCAGCATGTAGCCCACCTATCATCAGATGCTAGTGCTAAACCTGAGCTGATAGTAAAAGACAGCAGTGGTGGTGGTCTTGCAGGTAGACAAATTTCTGAAAGTCGATCAACAACAGCTTTTGATCCACCGCTAACTTCATCAACTGATATAATAATAATAATAATATATATTCTCATTTTTTACATGAGGGACGCCAGTTTACAGGCATCATCAATTCGATAGTTTATACATAATATTAATAAGCATATTTAGTAACGATAATATAATAAAGTACATTTTTTCCCTAGCTATGTAGGGCACACCAATTGTATAGGCATGCATAAATATTGTTTTAATAATAATAATATATTCCTTCCTGTTTATGCAGGAACATACCTATTGTACAGGCATGGATAAGTTATTATATAAATTACACATAATTTGATGTATAATGGACTTACAGTTTGGTTGTTCTCTCTGACATTAGAGTCAGTCGGAACAGTCTGCTATAAAGTCTGTTTGTGTAGCACATAAAGAGATATAGAAATATTGTCTTCGCATTAACAAAAAACCCAGACGTCAGATGAATGTAATACAGATATATGGGAAAAATAAAGCTTGAAGTCAATTCTCTTATATAACTTTGTTGTGAACAGCACCCTTGGCTTAAAGATTATTGATGTATTATGTTGAGATCAGTGATATATTTATTCCATTTTTCAGCAGTCTTATCGTAGTTTCATAACAGGAGAGAAATTTGATCGTGGAGGCGAAAATTAGATAAGGTCATGTCGGGTTGTTTTACTGCATCAAATGGTCCCGAGGTCGATTCCAGAATTCCCCATTTGCGCCATTTGTGTCTGCATGGCGGACTGTACTCGTAAGTTGAGTAAAATGTTGAAAGCCAGTTGCTTCTTTATTTCAGATCATGAATACTCATTTACATCGTGTCCGCCAGCTTCTTTAAATGGTAGAATTGGATAGTTCCTGGAATTTGAGTGATTATGGGATAAATGGTTTGGAATTAATCATAGCAGTTAGAATACAGTTAAACATGCAGAGAAGTACTTTTGATTCAGCAACCGGTGAATTTTTTATTCTTTTCGATCTAGTACCAGAATAACTGCGAACCATTCCATTCAATATGTCGAATAAGGCACGCAGGAGGAGATCATTACCATGGAATGAGTCAACTTGATCTGAGATGCAGCTTTCAGCATGTTTTCGTTATATCATAGATATCCAGGTTTATTGGCGCTGTAGAGGCAGTGATTTGATTATGACGTATTCTACAAAGTCTCCGTGCCCATTTGAAGTATACATAAGCTTGGAAAGGATTACTTTGTTGGCTCCTATCAATCAGTCGTCGTTGGTTCTGTCATCCACAATGAAACAGACGCCCATCAACTCAAGTATCTTGTCCAATGACTATGCTAGTATCAGTTCGTTTGAAAGGACGAATATCAATGGTCAGTTTAGTGAGGATAAGCCAAGTGTAAAGGAGAGAGTAATTGTTAAATTGACTTGCATGAATAAAGGCATTTCTAGTTTCAAGTTACTATTTGAATGTTATTATCTTTGGTGTAAATTACTCTGTTTCTACGCTTGGTTGACCAGATACGTTGTATGTTTGTTCGTCATCCATATTCTACGATACAATGACATGAGCGAGTTGCCGTTCAGATTTGAAGATATAGCTGATAGAAGGAAGTTAGCAAATGAACTCTGCGACGATTTTCTTACCTAGGGCGTCAACCTGAGAAGGGTTGTAGGCGTACTGCTGTAAGTCCTACAATTCTTCAAAGGGTAGTGCATCAGTGAGCAGTCCAATGTGCTTGGTGTGTGATTTTGTACATATGTTCATATTGTATATACTGAATTGGTATAATTTATCATCTAGCTGTTGGTAATTCTGTTTGTGTCCGGACATTCCACAACTTACAATCGTCAACCTGAGAAGGGTTGTAGGCGTACTGGTGTAAGTCCTGCAATTCTTCAAAGGAATTCCACCAAGGCAGGATCGGCGAGGTTGTTTGTACTATTTGTATATACGTGTGGTGTGTCATATCAATTAGTGTTTTTTGGATTCATTGTGTTTACTTGTTGTTTTCGTATCTTGTTGTTATTGCGTAATCTCTTTAAAATTTTCGTCGTGATTACTTCTGGAGTTGTTTCGAGTCATCACATCCATGAATGAATTGATTGATGTTAAGGACAGCAGATGGGTCGTATACGCCGGGGAGGCTAGGCTATTGCTGAGAATGAAATGCACACGGAGATAATTGTTAGCTGCGGTCCGACACGCCGGGGAGAAAGAGTGTAAACGACTGAGGCTCGCATACGTCACCTTTACTAGAACTGAGGCAGAATGAGTGACAAGCGATTTCAGTGGTAATTGGTAGTGAGAAGATAAGAGGATGTGCGTAGAGTATCGTGAGGTGGTGCGATGGTCACGTTGCATTCTGCAAGAGTCATTCTAGCAAGGGGCGATTGTGTTGCAAGATTTCAAGAGGAGGTCTCTGTCTGGAGGCGCAGGTCGTCATTGATGTGTGAGATTGTGCTGTGGGTATGCTTGTGGTGTGTTGGCTTTCCTGTTTGTTTTCCATTTCAGCTCTGTCCGTGTGACCCAGGTTCTCGCAATGGCATCCAAGTCAACGCGTATTGGTCGTGAAGGAAAAAAGGGTTGGATCCCTTTTTTGCCGGGGAGTGTCAATGGAGCTGAAGATTGAACGATCAATTCATGGTTGTTTGCTCAAAACCAACTTCCCCAATTTTCGCGGAGGCATCAATACGACAGTCATCGTCTCATCGGTCGCTGTTCAGAAAGAAGAGTAAAACATCGTCAGAAACCTTAGTTCACTTATTCTTTTTATATGTTATAATAATAATAATAATAATAATTTATTTTCATATAAACATAAATTTACATGAAAATGCATGCCATTTTTACAGGCACGATCAAGGATGATATAATGTCAAATCTTAAATTGTCTACAAGTTAATAATGTTTCAACAGTTAAATATTTGATATATATATAAATACACATTGTCTGAACTAGGCTGTATAGTTATTGAATTGTACAATTGTCCTCCAGGTTGAGCGGGAAAATCGACTTCGTTTCGTTTTCATCCCGTGGTTGTAGGCATACGATAATCAACCAATATTGAGGTAAGTACAACGTTTACAAGGAATTGGAAGCTTTTTTAGAAAAATTAAAGTGCTGTGGTGTAACATTAAAGTGTAATAGATTAAGTGAGTGAAATATATCATTAATAAACACATTTATATAGAAAACAGAATGGGGAAGTAATTAATCCTTAGGCCGACAACGTTCATTTGCAATGTATAATGAAACCAATATATTTTATACTATCATGCGTTCACTTTTGGCTTTAATACAATTATTTTCAAGCCAGTTGTCTTTATTTCATGTCTTTTTTTCTATTTGGTGCACAACCGTACCCTCCAGAGAATAGGAATAGAATAAGTCGAATCAAATTCATAAAGAGCTATAAAATGTTAGGTTTAATGGAATATAATGAGAATCAAGTAAAGACGTTATTAGAAAATAAGTGAGACAAGATATTGTGAAGTGGTATTTAAAGATCTGACAATGGATAGCAAGTTAATTCATAAGATGCCCCATAAATCTGTGCAGATCCCACGTGGTCGCATCTCAACAATAGGCTGAGCGAATGGTATATATTTAAAGGTAGAAGCATTATCTGTCAAGGCGTTCACTATTATCTTTTTCAAGATAAAGATCTAAGCCCTCATAAAAATCAGAAATATCTCGAGCCTTTAATTTGTATATTGCTGTTCCTGCAGAATGGGGCGATTCACCTTAGTGACCACCACCATATCTACTGATCAGCTAACGCCACCCTCCCTCCTTTTTTGATGTTAAGCTCTGAGACTATGATTATTATGGCTACCGCAAATATATTGCTTGGTACCAGACATGTTCGTACCCCATATTCCATCTCCCTAGCTTTCTTAATGAGTGCTTCCAATAGGTCTCCACGTACATCTTTACGAACATATTATATATGTGTGCATGCATCCTGATGAACAGATTACTTTATAAGAAGTTAAAACCTTAAAGAGTAAAACGAATAGGTATTGTGAATAGTGGAGCAAGATTTAGCAGAATACTATAGTTAAGGTTCAATTTAGGTAGTATGGACTGAAGGTAAGGTCGGTTGGCAGGACTTAGTGTACTAAATTTTCATGACAGTCTTATATATAGTAAACATCTGACATTGCAAAGTAACGTGTCTAGACATATTATAAAAAGATATTAACACAGAACCAACGAAATTTTGGCGTTTTTTAACAATACTGCAGTGTGTGTATACTGAAGAATGGTGGTTAGTCTACAGGGAGCCGTAGAGTAAATCAAACCATATATGATAAGAGTATAATCAATAATATAGTTCGTATATCAAATATTACACTAGGTTCAATAATTGAGTGTTATAAGGGAAACAAGCGTGGTAAAGCAAGAGAACATTTGATGCATAAATATTTTAAGTATTTTAATATCCATCTAATTTAAGAGTTGAACATGCATGATTAATAAGTATTGTTATATTAGTATATACATATGTAAAACGTTAAAAGGTGTGGATGCTATTACAATTATTTCCAGTGTTACTTTCACCAACACAACTTAGTGAAAATTATAGAGAATAGAAATCAGTAAATTAGTTAACGTTCGCTGCGTGAGTATTAGAGTCGAGATATACGTATGTGACTATACTGGAGACTGGACTGGCCTTCAATTTCCGTTCTACCAACAGTTGTGGTCTTTTAGACGAGCTAGGGTGGACATGTTAAAGTGTCTTTCTAGGCTCCGTTTGAACCCATCAGGGTTTTCACAACATCTTATTTCAGGTGGTAGTTGGTTCCAAAGAGTGCAATATTTTATGGTGAAAAAGTTTGCCCTAATGGATTTTCTGTGGGTAGCCACCTTGACAAGGTAGTCGTGGTTTCGCAGCTGATATGATTTAATATTTTCCCAAGTTATGGATGAGTTACTGTAGCAGTGTTTCCTAATGACTTTGAAGAGTAGAAATAGGTTGCACTTCACTCTCCTTAACCACAGAGGCTCTAATTTCAGACGTACACACCTGTCAACATATTCCACTTGTTGGTCGAACCCTATTATGCGTTTCGTGAGGAATCTCTGGACACTTTCGATTTTTTTTCTGTCTACAGTCCTGAGGTTACTAAATAGGAGAGCACAATATTCAAGTTTGGGACGGATACATGTCCTATATATAGCTAATCTTGCTTCTTGGGTGTAGAAGTTACGCAGTACAAAGCCAGTAAGTCGTTTACAGTCAGATACAACCTTATTTGCGTGATCGGAAAAGGATAAATCTGAGTATGTTATCCCGAGGTCTGTGACTGTGTTCAGTTTTGACAGGAGCTTCCCGTACATGTATAGGCACATTATCGGTTTCCAGCGTCCAAGGTGGGTTATACCGCACTTGTCTGGGTTGAAAGTCAGTTGCCACTTTTCGCTCCAATCGCCTAGATCATTTAAGTCTTGTTGGATCTTGCTTTCGACGCTCATATCACCGTACCCATAATCATATACTATCTTGAGATCATCTGCAAAAAGGTATGGCTTGCCATACTTGATTACAGAGACTATGTCATTTATAAATAAGAGGAATAGAATAGGGCCAAGAACACTACCTTGTATTACACCACTGGTTATCGGCTTTGAGGAAGACAACTGGTGGTTGATTTTGACTAATTGCTCTCTTTCTGTGAGAAAAGAACTTATCCATTTGTGAAGATTTCCGGTTATTCCGTAGGATTGGAGTTTTGTTAGGAGTCTGATATGTGGGACTTTATCAAAGGCCTTGCTAACGTCAAGAAACAATGTTGTTACCGAACGCCCATTATCAATGCTTTGTGTGATGTAGTCAAAATAATCTAAGTGGCAAGTAATGCACGACCTTCTACTTAAGAAACCGTATTGGGATGGGGATAGTAGGTCATTTGACAGCAAGTACTGAATGATTTGAGTCTTAACTATCTTTTCCATTACACGTGAAACTACAGACGTGATGTTGATGGGGCGGTAGTTGTTGATATCAGCTATAGGCCCGTATTTATGGATAGGTACAATATAAGACTTCTTCCAGCAGTTAGGGTATGTCCCATCGCTTAATGAAATTGAGTATAACTTGAGTAAGAGTAAACTCATGTCATTACCACCTTTTTTCAGCAGAACGGAAGATATACCGTCTGGGCCAGTAGTGTTACTAAGCTTAAGATTTGCGACAGCTTTATCGATCTCATGTGTGGTGAAAATTATGTCACTTAAACATTCGTCTGTTTTACGTGGGAAATCCACGACTTCATCGTTCTCTAAGGTGTATAATCTGGCGAAGTGCTTGCTAAACAGTTCACATATCGCCTCATTATTTTCGTAAGCAATGCCGTCTAAGTATATTATTTTCGGATAGGGTGTTTTGGAGTTCATCAACCTACTTTTAAAAAGTTTGGCTATTTCTCCTGAGTTATGCGGTGCATGAATGGCCTGCATTTCTTTGTTTCTGAGGCCTATATTTCTCAACTCTTCAATTCTACTGAGAAGGGACGTTATGGCAATTAATGACGATAAGTCATGATATCTGTAGTATTTTATTGAGTGCTTACGTAGACTTCTTCTAAACGATGTCGGAATATAATCACTTTGGGGGAATCTGAAGTTAAGAATCTTCTCGGGTGCAATGACGTCGTGAATTGAGTTAATATTCTGATAGAAGTTGTTAAGAATTGCATCTAAGGACTGGTTCGAAAAGTACGAGTCCCAATTAGAACATCTAATTAGGTGCTGATACAAGTCCCAGTCAGCATGTGTGTACAATCTCATAGGTATCTGGCCAGCTTCATCTCTGCGTTTTGTTTCAGGAAAGATGTCAAAAGAACAAACTACTATTCTATGGTCACTACCTGGAAATTCATGTCCAACATGTACGGTAGATGGCGTTATGTTGTTCGTGAAAATAAGGTCTAGGATATTTGCGGATCTAGTGGGTGAATTTATGTGTTGTGTCCACCCTCCTGTGACGATGGAATTTATGAGATTATCGTACCTTTGGGGTCCTCGGAGTGAAGACCATGATACTTCTGGCAAGTTGAAATCGCCTCCGATAATTTTATAACTGAAAGGAAGATTGGCTGTAACATTAAAGATATTGCTAAGCATATTATCATATTCCCTGCTGGATGAAGGGGGCCGGTACACACAACCCACAAGTATAGGTTTACTTCTGACAACTTTTATTTCGACCCAGATCGAGTCATTGAGTTGTGACAGAATTGGGTTACTAAACTGGGTTGCACACATGGATTGTTCACAGTAAATTAGTGTTCCACCCCCACGACCTGTCCGTCTGTCCCCGCGAAAAAGGTTGTATTTATCAATCCTTAGGCTGTCATTGGAGATTTCACTTGTGCACCAGGCTTCGGTGATCATAATCAATGACGGTCTGCATATAGAAGCTATTGTACTTAGTGCTAAATGTTTGCTTAGAACTGATCTCGTATTTACTAGGATAATAGATAAACACTGGCTATGTGGTTTCAGTGAGCGGACAACATCTTGGTAAAATAATCCGTGAGTATCCTCTATATACATGTTATCAGACTCATTTACCAATATCTTTGGATCGTAGGAAGACTTCAGGTAGATTTTTGAGGTGGTAGTCAGGGATGGGCTTACGTTTGGATATGGTATGCAGTGAGAGACACCTGTGTGATAATCAGATATTAATATTTTAGAGATATTAGTATCCGCGTTTGGTGTCGACACTGTGTCAGCTATCTCCCGGGAAATATGCCTTGCCCTAGCTGTAGACTGTTCGCTATGCCAGCAAGGAATTGATCCGATATCATGCGTGCTATATGCATGATTCCAGGTGTTTCTGTTAACTGACGCTGGTGAAAATCCTGCCCTAAGGTATAACCGATATGTGTTACAATAAAGAAATCTCAAGCGGCAGATCGGTGTTTTGGTTTTTTCGTCCGTTATAACTAAGCGTTTCTGAAATCTTCAAGGAACAGCGTGGGCCCGAGCGTAGCAAGAGCTGGGCATTAACGGTTTATGAGACGTGATTGACAGCTGGTGTATTCAGTAAAGTGAAAGTTGTTGTGCATATCTCTTAGACTTGTTGTAGTCATTGGTATTCCCAGGATACTACTTACTCGTTTTATGCAGTCGAAATATTCAATTCTCACTTTATTGAGGAAATAGTATAGTGCCTGCAAAAGTAGTGCGTCAGTTTACGAGCTTCATTAAGCCTACAGAATGTTTTCTATTCACTGAATACTGTTTGCGAATTATCCGATAAAACACATTTCCGAGTGGGATGTAATGCAAGGCTGAATTCTTAAACTGTCATCCCTATATCAGCTCAATTCAATCACACATATATTAGTAGAATAATCTGTAATTGACTTTAGAGACTTATCAGGGAATAGTCTCATCAACTCACAGTTTACTGATGATATTGTCCACCTAGACTATGAGAAGTAACCTCTGATGCCGTAAAATATGAAAATAATACCAGTATTTGATTATAGGTGTCCGCGTTCTATCTCATGAGTAAAGCAGTATAATATGGAGAGTGCTGTTGAGGTTACGCATAAATGTTAAGGTGGGGAGGGTAGTTAGTCTTCAAGGTAGGGAAGCTGAATAGGTTGAGATGGCTAGAACACGTGCTGGCATACAAAGCCATCGCCTTTCTCCAGGGACAATGCTAGCCAGCACATGTTAGGGTTTAAAATGTGTTTGGGTCGGTCAAATGAAAAAGTGATATTGGTTCATAAAATTGTTGACAGTCAGCTGGATGAACCACCGGAGATGTGACTGCAAATCTTTGGTACTGGTACAGGTGCATTCACTCTGTGTAATCTCACGTATCTATTCAACTCATGTTTTTCCTTGTCACTATTTATTCTCCCTCACATTTTCGCTCGTTAAACTTCCATTTAGTTTTATGCCTCTACCTTTGTGTGCTACATGAAATGTGGTAAATTAAACAGGTGGACTTCTCTGCAAACTAATACTGAAAGCTAGTCAGAATGACACAGTCTGGGCATAACTAAATGCGAAACATTGATAAATGATCTCCAAAATTTCAACAAATGATAAGTGTAGTTCTTAATCTTCTTCTTTGCCAAATGAAAAATAGATACCTTTCAGTAATCTCTTCTTCCACCCGGGACTCGTCTCCTACTTTGCAACTGGATTTGTGTTTTGTCACATTTGTGCTTAGCTTTCGGTCATTCAGCATTCGCCGTTGTTGTTGACTCAGCGCCTAGATGACTTTATTTGAATAAGGTTTCGATCGTGCAAACTTGGGTCCTGGGCGGTTGATTGGTTGCATTATCATTTCTCAAATGGAATGCAGTATACTGAATATTAGGGTAAATATTCCGCCTTGCTTGCTGAAGCTTGTGTTCCTCAGGCTATTTTTATCACTCCTTTTCTTCTTTCTCTCTCGTCTTACATGACTTTTCTCTTTCTAATGAGAGCAACTTCGTCAAATACGCTGTTGATCTGACCGTCTCACTTCGTGTCATGTTACAATGTGACTGCAGCAAACTTAACTGGTTCCTGCCTGTAATCTAAGGTACGTGGTCTTGCGTTAAATCCCTCTAAAAGTCAGGCAGTTAACTTTCCCCTCACTCATAAGCGTGAACTGCAAGAACTGTGTCGTTCACAAGATGTTTGTATCAAAGAGGGCACTGAAACAGAAACTAAGTCTAACAGAAAATACCTTGGAGTAAATCTATCCTCTGGTCTTTCTTGGTCATTCTATATCTTGTCGATTTCTTCAGTCTAGCTTACCATGTTATGTGTTCAAGACAGTCAGGAATCATTCAACCTCTCTTTTTACAATTTGTTAACAATTGAATTGGTCTTTACTGCTCCCCCTTATTCTTTCCTGAATTACTCAAAAACGACTATGTCGTATTGTGCAAGGTATTAAGGTTGTCAGTAGGGCAAGTGGTGTACCATTTAGTCAACTCGTTAATGCATTAGTTAAAAGACATCTAAACTCATGCGAGAAATGGTCTAAATCTATACTGTCTAACCCTCAACGTCCCCTCTATTCTCAGCTCTTCCCTTTAATTTCATCTGATGGAACCAGAAGTCAGTATCAAAGATCATACGATCGTTTTTGGAATTACGTAATTCCAAAAATTGTTGTCGTTTTCATTGCCAGCAGTTCACAGCCTATTGAGTTTACGCAAGCGGAATGCTCATTTCCCACTTTCCTGAGGAGACATCAACTAGGATTCTAGGAAAGTAGTACGTCAGTGTGCGAATTTCATGAATCTGTAGACTGCATTCCATTCACTTATTACTGAAACTAAACTATGAAGGAACTGATATTTCAAAGAAGGATGTAGTACAAGGCTCATTTCTACAACTGTCGTCCTTATTTTAGTTCAATTTCATCATAAATTTATTAACCGAATTGTCTGTTACTCACTTTAGGCCCTTACCAGGGAACAGTCTTGTCAACTTAGTGTATGCTGATGGTATTGTCCACTTAGGCTGCGATAAGTGACCATTGAAACTGGAAGATATGAAAAGACTACTGGTTTTTGATCGTAGTGTCTGTACCCTTTCTTCTGTGTTAAGTAGTCTAATATGGTGAGTAATATTGGGGTTAAGCTTAGTGTTAAGTAGAAATGTGATTCCAAACGTTGTTAATGACACAGATGCATTCACTCTATGTAATCTCACATATCTGAGCAACCCTTATATTTTTTCCATATGACTGTTTGTTTTTCATCACATTTATGCTCATTATAGTGACATTTAATTTCTTTTTTCTTCTACCTTTGTGTGCTACATGTAATGTGCTAACTTAAGCGGGTGCACTTGTGTGCAAGCTTCTATGTTGAAAGTCAGTCTGTCAGAATGATCTATAGTCCAGTTATAATGAAATGCTAAAACGTCGATAAAAATAAGCAAAATGTCAACAAATGGTAATCGTATTTTTTCATTTAGTTCTTGTCTAACTGAAAAAAGTGATCTTACAATAATTTCTCCTCTTACCCGAGATAACTCTCACACTCTGTCCCGTTATATCTCATTAGTTAGTTAATTTTATCGTGTAGCCCAAATGCGAAATTGAAACACATCTGATGAAATATGTTTTGCTTATTACCAACTAAATATAATATTTTTCAAGTGTGGAACGTCACAAATCGAACTGCTACACTTCTGTGCTCATTTCCATGTTAAAACTCAGTCAGTCAGCTTTGTCACTGCAGATGCGTAGTGTCACAACTACCTAGTGTTAATTAGCTTAAACAATTATTCATGCCGTTTCCTAAGTACTCTATGCATTTCCCGATTCCTTAAACTGTCCAGATAAAGTGCACCGAAGAGGAAAACATAAACCAAAAGTCAGTAACACGGACGTAAGAAATAGTGTGAATAGAAGTGAATGAGATGAGTGACCTTCTATCCCTGTAGTACGCTTAACTAAAATACTCATGTATATGAATGAGGCAAAAAGTTGTGTGACTGACTTGATATGATTATGAGCAATAGTTTGTGCTCAAAACGCCACCAAGTAATATTGCTGTGCAACACTGTGTGATTTATCAAAATAAAATCGTATCCATAATGGAGTTATACTCTACCACAGTGCCCAAATTTTATACTTATGTCAAAAATACTTATCTTATGTGTCTCCTAATTGTTTCCTTTTTGTCTTCCTCATTGCAGGTTGTCAGTCTCCGTAGACATTCTACTAGATATCGTCATACATAGTGTCTGCAAGCAGTCTTTCAATACATCTACCTCCCGCAAAGTTATTGTTACGATGCCTTTAAATCATTTACACTTGGCCGTAATACAATTAGTGTGCTAATATTACTGATGCAATGACATGCAAGACTTGTACATGTTACTGTGAAGTTAGCTTGTAATAACATTCCCTCCATAGTAAATAGAATGCTTGTGATAACAATTCGTCATTATCTTTTCATTGTGTTGATAGTTGCGTATATATTAGAAAAAAGCTAACCTTGTCGTATCAGTTCTCTAAATTACAATCACTAAGTGCCCATACCTCTGCTGAATACCAAGTGCTACTCGTGGCCCATGAAATACTTATTACTGCATTCGGAAATAACAGTCAAACTATTATTACATGGAGTAGTGAGACAGAAAGCGTATGA